GACTTTAGATACTTTTATGAAGTATGCCACTTAAAGGGGGACTCAGTAATAATCATTCTTTGCAGCTGGTCTCCCTATACCCAATCTTCACTTTTCAGCCATAGTCTATGTGGTTGGCAAAGGAATTCCTAAGGTCCTCCCTAACCATGCTAAGATATGAAAGTCTCTGGTTCCCCCATTGGTAAAGAAGCTCTCCCTCCATGATCTGGTCCCCTTTAGTCAGTCCAATCTTCTTCTCCCATACCCTACCACGATGAACTCTCCCCTACCTCCCTAGCCCCTGTTCCCTAGTCTATAACATGCTTCCCCTCAGTGCTGAAGACTTCTTTCTTTTAGTTCAGATCTAGGCACATCTCCCATCAGGGCCCTTCCCTGGTGTGAGTTCAGTGTCTCATTTGTGTTCCCATAGGTCCCTTACACCATGGCCTCTATCCTCAGTATAATCACCATCTCTTCTGTGCTGTGAGTCCTGGCAGGTCATATTTGTCCCAGTACACCCAGCCTTCAGCACACAGAGGGCTTTCTATACTGAGGAAGCACATTCACTCCAAGAATATTTCCCACGGTGTATGTGTATGCCAATTTCAGTTCTCTCTCACAATGCAAACAACTTGGGGAAAATTAACCTCAACCAAGCATCTTCATGATGCTCTTTTCAACACAAAAGGGTTAGATATTCTCTAAGTGTCTCTGTAAATATTTTCTGCACGATTTTCTTACTCAAAATGAAGTCTATGGACTGGCAGGATCCAGAACTACCATAGATATATTAAATTGGGATCTGCATTTTACCCAGACCTCTCAGTGATTCATGTGCATATTCAGGTTTGAGAAACATTCCCCTGAAGGATACTATCCTTCCTTCCTCACAATGGCCTCATGGCTGAAATGGTGGAACATTTTACAATTTGATGCACCTGAAGAACCATTCAAAACCCAAAGAATAGGAAGAAAGTGTATCAGTTATGTAGCTGCATCTCCTTTCATTTTTATGTTAAATAGGTTGCCTCACTGTGAAGGTAAAGGGAACGGCAGTTGGCCTGATCCATGGGGAACTCTTCCAATGGTGTTGGATGAATGCTGGACAGGGAGGTATAATTAGTTGCTTTAAATCATGCTCCAGGATGAGGTGAGCACTGCTCCCACCAGTCCCCAAGGATGCTCCACCCCTGCAGTTTGCTAGTCCACATATGGGTGCAGATCTTGCTGCATGTGCTCATAGCACACACAGGCCAGGGTGGCACAGTTTTACCATTTGGCAAGAGGGAAACACACTGAGAAGATGGCAATCCAGAGACCTGGCAGGAGATGCAGGACACAAGCCTTTATTCACCATGTGGACTGCTGCAGGTGTACCTCTCTCCTGGTTCCTAGTATAATCTTTCATCTCCATGACTTACAAGTGTCTCTAACCACACCATGAACTCTCACATCTCAGGAGAAAGCAAAGATGTGGTTTATGCTTTGAGGCCCCTCATCTCCCCTGTCCAGGTGAGAATGGGATTATTCCCTTTAGCACAGTTCCACCTAACCCTCAAGAGTGAGCTGAACCTTACTGCCTGTTCAGAATTACAATCTCAGAATATGGCAGAGCAGACAAAATTCACGTAAGAGCAAGATGTACAAACCCAGCACACTGGGTTCATTTTGAATCCAAAACCTTCCTTCCTCCTCTTGCTGCCAGCTTAGCTCCTCAAAACCCGTCCTCTGCCCACTGGTGACTAGTGCTAGCTAGCAAGTAAGCTTTTGGTTTATACTTCTCTGGTGATGTCAGAGGTGGAGAGAAGTATGGCTCTGCCCTCAGGGAGCCCACATCCCTTCTGAGGCATCACTGGAGTCGGGGAGCAGGTTCCTATGGGCCTGGGGAGGAAGGCTCAGCCATGAGCAGGGCTCTTGATACAGAAGCTGCTGGAGCAAAGCCTGGGTGAGGTATGGATTGGGTACACTCTGAGGGAGACAGGAGGCTCCGGACATGATGGATTGCTTTCACTGTACTGCAGTCCCCTCCAGCCTGAAGGGAAATGATTTCAAATAGGTACAAGAATTCAAACTGCCAAACTGTATTTGCTTGGTGACTTGAATTGCTTGTGAGAAGTCACCTTGGGAGGGCTCTCTGTTCTTCTGAGGAACTACAGGGAATCTCATCTGGAACAGGCATACAGACCTTCTCAGCTGAGTCTGGGGGCTTGAGACTCATTTCCCTGTGCTTACATCTCAGCCATCTACCTGCCCTACCCTCGACCTCTCTGACCTCTCTAATCTTACTTCCCACATCTCTCCAGTCACAATCCTGTCTGCAGCCAGACAGCTTTCCTCATACTGTTCTCTGGGTCCCTAAATGGCCTCCTCTCTTGATACTCCCCTTCCACCTACAAGGTGCAGTATTTATTCCACATCTGCTCCAAGAAAATCAACCCTTCCTTCAAGGGCACCTGCAGGTCTCTCACAGAAAGGGGCAGCCTTCCTCATCTGCAGGTAGCAAAGAGACCAGTAAGCCATGGCTCCTCCTAGTTTGCTATACAAAGCTGGAAGAAGGGACCAAACATGAGACACACATCTGGGTCTGGTATAGTCAGTTCTTCCCCAGAGAAAGCTACACTTCCAGCTAAGAGGGTGCAGGCCGAACACACATAGAAGAGCGAGCAACACCAGGATGGGAGGGTTAGAAGTGAGGGTGCCCCAGTGGAGGAATAAAGTGGACCAGTGTGCTGGAAGGAAGAGAGAAGGCTCCTCTTCAGCTCTGGACTCTGGAGCATAAATGGCAAGAAATCACTCTGCCCACTGCTATGTGTATGAGAGAGCCTGATGAGCCTAAGATCTAAAAACCTGCTTAGGCAATGGCTGGGTAGGGACTTAATGATTGTACACAGGGCTAAGAGAGAGGGGAGAGGTCTCAATGGAGAATCCATTGGCAGCTTTTGCCACCACAGATTGGCCAGCTAGAACAAGGAAGCCACCATGAAGTAGTTATTCTGGTGCTGTACATGGCTTAAATCACTCTGCTTGACATGATGTTGGGAATTTTCATTTTCCTCTTTTCTTTGTTCCACAGAAAGGTACATTTTTTAAACCAAGGTATCACTGCCCATTCATTTATCTGTTCAACACCACCAGTGCCTGCATTATGTCTTGTCCTGGGCTGGACGTCCGCAGGCACTGGCTCCCTAGAAGCACTGTCAGGAGCTGCCCATGGATGGCACTGTCCACTGTAGAGAAAGTGCTCAATACATTCTTCACAGTAAGAGTTAAATGTTAAGACCAGGTTTTGTCTTTGCATACAGTTAATGTTGTATTCACATAGATCTGCAAGTACATATTCTGTAAGGAAATTACATTTAAATACAGGTGTAAACATGCAATCCCAAATTTGAGGGTGCCTCAATTTTCAAAGACTGAAAAAAATGGGATCATTCTCTAGATATGGCTTTGTCTTTTGCTTTCTCCACTTAAAATTCCACTCTGAGCATGTTTTATGCTTAGAAAGCATACATATCTTTCTCATCTTTTTCTTCAAAGGCCAGACCTTTACTGCTAATCTTTTTAAGTTAAAATTAAACAAAATGAATTTGTCTTTATTCAGATAGCTTTTTATTCATTCATTCATTCATTCATTCAGTGACTACTCCTTAGTACCTCCTTTTGGTGTCATACTGTGGCAAGCTAGAGAAATTCAGTGGTGAATAACACAGAATTCTGCCTTCTAGATCCTTAAATCTTGCGAATGATATGCCAGGAAGGAACACTTTGAAAGCTGCCTGGTGAGTGGAGGGATCCCAGATAGCTTGCCAGACACAGGTGACTTGCTTTGTACTTGACCAGCCTGATCCTGATATATTGGATTAGGAATGAGTGCCTGACCAGGGACCCTAAGGTGCCCGCCTGATAAAAATGTGGCTGGGCTGGGGATTTAGCTCAGTGGCACCATGCCTGCTTTGCAAGCGCAAGGTCCTGAGTTTGATCCCCAGTACCAAAAAAAAAAAAAAGAATGTGGCTGACTCTCATAGACTCTTTCTAGGGTAATTTAAGTGTGTGGAGGGGGGGTGGAGGGGAGGGGACAAGAAAGAAGAGGAGAGGAGGGGAGGAGAGGGGAAAGGAGGGGCGGGTAGGGGAGGGAATATGAATAAGAGGGGCTCTGAAACTTAAAGACAGATCAAGAGAAGGCAATAAACACAAAACACAGTGGGGAGGGATGCACAAAGCACTGTCACTGTGAGCTAAGAAGAGTTATGAGTAAGCAGCAGTGTGCACCATCATGACACGCAGAGGAGACAAGTAGTCTGGCACAAAAACAAAGGCACAGAGATAAACAGTAGTGTCTCTTCTCAGCTACCGGAATGGTGTCACCACTGGAGCCATTATTATTCCAAAGACCACCTAATTCTCTACAAGATCCGTCTATGCAATTGTCCCTGACTTCCTTACCTACCCTCAGATCAACAACAGACTCTGCCAACTAAGGATGACTTGAACACGTTCTCTGTTGGGAAAACTCCACCTCCACTGGAAGCCATTGTTTCTCTGTGCCTTCAGTCAACCTTTTTAAGACCCCTAACCTAGAGGCTGGATTCTGGATGTTCCTCCTCTGCTGGTATGTGATCTGTTCATGCACAAGAAACATAATGACCGTCCCAGATGTTGGGCAGTGGTGTACAACTCGCAATGCATCGACTAGGCTGAGCACCCTTGGCGAAAGTAAATAGTCACTGCCAGTTTCTCCAAAGCATTGTGGTATAATTACTTATTAATTTAAAGACATCATGAGATTTGAGAAAGGGAGCACTGATGTTAGACTAGTTGCCTCTGACATTCTCAACTGTGAAATGGAGATGATATATCAATAAGAGATGTGAGAACAAACAGGTATGCTATTTCTTGCAGCAAAATGACTAACTTTAAAAATTCCTCTGGTTATGTGTTGTGATGATTTGCAGACATGCCTAGCAGCCTGTACACACAGAGCCAAGCTCTGCCTTCACACAAGACAGATAAAGGCAGCCCACCTTGCCATCCAGGCTTGCAAACGGGCTTCACGTCCACCTGCACCAGCGTATCCTGAGCAGCAGGTTTCTGTCCACAGTCGTAGGCTGTCACTAGGATCTCATACTGGCGCTGCCTGTCATAGCTCAGCTTCTCAGTGTTCCTGATGTTGCCTGAGGAAGAGAGGCATTCAGAATCATCTCAAGGCTAGTCACTTTTTCAAAATCCCTTCTCTACTCCATCACCTTTAAAAGGATGAAATGGCCCCTTTCTCTATTTTTTTTTTGCAAAAACAAGGGCAAAAAGGAATATAACCTCTACCTGTGGCCTGCGTACACTTTAGTGGTCAATTCCTGGACCATTGGCTGGAGCAACCTTGCTGTGCAATGGGATGATGGGAGTTCTGAGTAAATTATGGAATCCAAAAGACCTGTGCTTAAAGAAATGTCTCCAGGAAACTCCTTCCTAAAGTGCACTCATGTAGCCTTGTCCCTGATGTAGGGCACAGAGAGCTCATCTGCCATGAAATTTCTTGGAAAAAGACAGAATTCAGAAAATATTCTGATACACATTTTTTAGCATCTGGGCTTGTTGCCAGGAATGTTCACTGCCTCTTCTCACATTATTTTCCTACTAAATAGGAAGTGAAATCAATAAGAAAACATGTGACCTCCCTTCCAAAAGCTACACCAAGTAACAGATTCCTTGCCCTGAGGAAGAAGGCATTTTTCTTCTCCAGGAAAGAACAAACAATTTTTTTAGAGCCATTTTTATGTTTTTGTTTCTGTGGGTTCGATATGATTCATACATAAATATTTGGTAATTAATGAGCAAAATATTGTCTATTTTTGCTGGACTACAATATTGATTTGAAAGAATGAATAAAGACTCAAAGCTCACTTAACATTTTTAAGTTTTTTATTCCAAGAGATTAAAGTTTTCCTTTGATGAAAATAATTTCATTCTTGCTTTATATAATTACTTTTGATGGAGGAATTGACAGAAAATTAAAACTCAAGTGTTATCTTTTAACAGAAATGAAGAAAATGGAAATTAAAAACACAAAATAGATCAATAAAAATCAACAAACATAGTATAAGAATTGTAAACTTAGATTTACTTTCATATTTTATCAAAGCAAAAAGATTACCTGAGTGAATTTTCTTCCATTCCAACTGAGGTAAATTGTTCATGTAATTAAAGACAGTGTGAGCTAAAACAAAACTGTTTGGAAAACTGGAAAAGCCGAATAATGCTTTCAACATTGGAAAAGCTGATCCACCACTCACCTGAAACAGTACTCTGGGCTGGAAGACAAGCAGGGGTTACAAATAGGAGTATGTCAGGGTGAAGTTTCGGCTGGTTAATCATGAGGTCAGAATACAAAGTCACCCACGACATCCAACCAAGAATTAGAATAATCTACTCTGGCTGTCTGTTCTGGACCATTTCTAAGAATGCAACTAACATCTATTGATCTGAGGTAGCATTTACTTCAACAAAGTCTGACAAAAATCTCAATAAAAATAGGTTTTATGTATTTCTGGCTTTGTCTCTGGTGTTCAAAATCTCTTTCATTTTGTCCTAATATTTGTTTTCTTCTCAATTCAAGGCCTGCACAGGTCTGGAGTGGCTGGAAATTGGGTTGGTAACACTCTCCATGGATTGTGTTAACAAACTTGTTCATGGTTATAGTCAACACAGGGGAGGAATTTTTTCAGGTGGAAGCGCTTTAATATAACCATGAGAAGTATGTTTCAGCAACATCAGATTGAATTTTGAACAAAATTTTTAACTTTCTCTTTCTCTAAAGTTAAATGGCTCTCAAAAGATCCCCTTCTTAGAAGAGGAAGGCTTGGGTTTACAATCCATGCGACACTAAGTAGACCAAACACTATTGATTGTGGAAGAAAAACAAACACGCAAACTGAATCTTCGGCTCAATTTGTTGCAGTTCCACTTCCATAACAAGTCTTAATGAAATTGACTGAGAAACTAATTTACTTTCTCCACCACTACCAACTTCCTACACGTGAAAATAGGTTTCAAAGCACAGAATTTAAAGCATTAGGTCAGAAATAAGAATATAATATTGTGAGCAGTTGTTTGTGGGAAGGGGTCGTGTTTGTATAAGACACTAATTTAAAACCGTTTGAAAGCCCAGAGAAAGCCATCTCTTTCGTTTCTGTTGCATTTACATCCTTTTCTCCTACATTTAAATGTGCCTTCTCAAGAGACCTGCACCTACAGTCAATTTAGGTGAGCTGCAGCCTGGTTCCCAGGCTTCTATGGTCAGGTCCAAACGACATCTGGGAAATTAATCCTTATAGAACAATCAGTACCTACCTAGTGTAGCAATGAAGGTTTGTGTTTTTCTTTTAACCCAGGAAGCACGGGAGGGAGTGGGAGTGATGAGGTAAGCACACTGACCAACACCCGCTTTCTGGTGGAATTTGAATGGAAACATTCTGGAAGGCTCCTTGGCAATCTATATCAGTCACTTTGAAATTGCTCTTTCAATGTAATTCTTCATGTAAAAACTGATTCAAGGAAATGATAAAACTGCAACTGAATAGTAGCTGTTCAAATGTGTCCATCTAAGTGTTATGTATGCATTGAAATATAGTCTGATAAGGAGAAGAGGTAAATATAGAATGTTAATATTAAGATGAAATATTGTTCAGCCTAAAATGGGGATTATGAAATTATTTTGGAGTGGGGAAAGTATATATAATTGAATTTTAAGTGAAAAGGGGGAAGGAAAAGAAAACAAGGCAGTGTGGTTTTAATTTTATTTAGGAATTTCATGGAAAACCTGTTGGAAATATGGTAAACTCTTAATAGTGGTTTTCTTTGGCAAAATGATGTGTGATTTATTTCCTTCTCCATACTTTTGTGTGCTTTCCAAAGTTCACACACAGGGCTTATCTTACTGGCTGAGGTTGGGAGCTAGCCAGTGAGCAGCCAGCGAGTCCTTGTGAAAGTAAAATGCTATTTGAAAGCTGGAAAAATCTGCCAAGTGGTAATTGGGTGTCACTGTGTCACCGAGAACCCTGCTGTTTCCTCTGCTGACATTCCCTCACATTGTGGCTTGTGGCATACATACACTCTAGTGAGCACACTGTTTGCATTAGTTCAGGTAACAATGATACCACACGGGTACAATAATTAATTCATATTTTATTGATTAGGAGCTTCAAGTAATTTGTCAAAGACCACACACATACACACACACACACACACACACACACACACAGAATGACAAATGTAGGCTTAGACAAACTTTGTGGGTTTTCTTCACATATTTATTAAGGTATGATTGACAAATAAAAATTGTATATACAATGTGTGTATGATGTGGTGTTTTAATCTAAATGTGTGCTATGCTGTACTGTAATGACTGTCATGATAAAGCTATGTAATCATATGTATTTGCTCACAGTTCTCTGTGTGTGTGTGTGTTTGCGTTGTATGTTACAAGAATACTTGGGAGCTACTCTCAGCAAATTTCAAAAATACATTGTTATCTAGTTTCTATGTTTGTATTAGGTAGCCAGCACTTACTAATTTTTTATCTGAATGTATCCTTTCACTAATATTTCCCCTTCTTTCTCATCCTCAAATTCTTGCTAACCACCATTCTATTTCATATTAGCATGAGTTCAAACTTTCTTTTTGGATCTATGTATAATTGAGATTCTGCAGCTCTTGTCTTTTAGTGTCTGACTTATTTCACTAAATATAATGTCCTCTGGATTTGTTCAATTTGTTGCAAATGGCAGAATTTCCTTTGTTTTTTTAGGCCTGAGTAGAAGTGAATTTTTCTATATGTGTGTATATGTGTATCCTCCCATGATTTTTGTATCTACTTATCTGTCTGTGGACACAGTTTGTTTCCATGTCTGGTCTGTTAAGAATTACGCCGCAGTGATTATGGGAACACAGATGTTTCAAGATAGAAATTTTATTTCCTGGGATATACACTCAGGAGTGAAATTACAAGGTTATATATTAGTTCTATTTTTAAGTTTTTGAGGAACTTTCATATTGTTTCCCATAATGGCTATAGCAATTTACATAACAAATAACAATGAACAAGAGCTTCCCTTTTTCCAAATCCCATTGGTACTTGCTATCTGTTGGCATTTTGATAAAAACCATCCTAATAGTTGTGAGGTGATATTTCATTGAGGTTGATTTGTATTTCACTCATGGTTAATAATATTGAGCATTATTTCTATACTTGTTGACCATTTGTACATCTTCTTTGGAAAAATGCCTATTCGAGTCTTTTGCCTATTTTTAAATTAGATTATTTATTTTGTTGATTTTTCTTTTGTTGTGCAAAAGCTTTTTCAGTTTGATGAAGCCCATTTAAAATGTTGTTGCTTTTCTTACCTGTTGTTTTGGTATCAGATCATTGACAAAAAATCACTTCCAAGGAAAATGTGAAGAAGTTTCCCCTTAGGTTTTCTCTTAGGAGTTTTATGGTTGCACTTCTTATGTTAAGACTTAAATCCATTTTGAGTTGATTTTTGTGTAAGAATCCTATTTCTTTTATTTTTAATTTTTTAATCCAGGTTTTCCCAGCATTGCTTATTAACGAGCCTATCCTTTCTCCATTGCATATTCTTGGTGGCTTTGTTAAACATTAGCTAACTGTATACAGGTAAATTTTATTCTGGGTTCTCCATTCTCTTCTGTCAGTCTGTCTGTCTGTTTTTATACTGGTATTATACTGTTTTGATTTCTATAGTTTTGTAATATAGTTGGAAATCAGAATGTGTCATGCCTCCAGGTTTGTTCTTAAGATTGCTTTTGCTATCCAAGGTCTTTTGTAGTTTCACATAAATTTTAGAATGTTTTTCTGTTATTCTGAAAACTACTATTAGAATTTTGATAGGGATTGCACTTTAGGTGGTATGGACATTTTAACAATATTACTCCTTCCAATCTATGAACATGATAACTCATGTTCATGTTCCTTCCATAATTTATGCCTTCTAAAATTTCTTAATCAATGTTTAGTGTTTTAAATATACAGACATTTCACTTCCTTGGTTAAATCTATTCCTAAGTATTTTATTCTTTTTGATGATATTGTAAATGGGATTGCTTTCTTGATTTCCTTTTTGAACACTTTTCTGTTAGAAACACGATTGATTTTAATATG